TGTCCTAAATTTACTCCTACAATATTTCTTTAACTAACTAACAAATTTCGTAATTATTAACATTATTTTACAAATGAAATTAAACGCATTTTCACATGCCCCATCGTCATCAGTTCAATAGTGGATCTAATAATATTATAAGTGTTATATATTAAGTAAATACATGTGTTATTGACACATCTATTAATCGACACACTGTAATTTGCAAAGATTATCAATCTAATATATATTATTCTTAAGTATAAACCAGGCTGATTCTAGGCATCAAAACCAAATTAACAATACTAATTATATATGTTCTTATGTTTCAAAATCTCTCAGAAATATGTACATTTTTAAGTGTAACCAATTACAAAAACTATCAAAAGTATAAAGTATACCATACTAAATTTAATCATTATAAGTTTATAACCATCCAAAATGATTTATATAATAGCTTAACCTTTTAAAATAATTTTAATTTTATTTAACAACATTTAGTTATTAATATTTTCTTGATTTAAATGTGATACAAACTATAAAATACACTAAAAATTGATAAAAAGTATGATTCTGATCTTATTAAACATGAGAAAAACTCAACCAATACTTCCACAATTACATTAAACTAACAATATTCCATATTTATAGTAAATAATTAACAAGCAAACCAAAAATTTACAAATTAACAATATTCCCCCCCCNNNTAATATTTTCTTGATTTAAATGTGATACAAACTATAAAATACACTAAAAATTGATAAAAAGTATGATTCTGATCTTATTAAACATGAGAAAAACTCAACCAATACTTCCACAATTACATTAAACTAACAATATTCCATATTTATAGTAAATAATTAACAAGCAAACCAAAAATTTACAAATTAACAATATTCCCCCCCCCTCCCTCTATATTAATTAGAATTGTTTATAAAAGTTTATACTGTTATAATTAACAAGCAAACTACAAATTTATGAAAAAAAAATATTCTCCCGTCTATGTTTACTAAAACTATTTATTAAAATTTATCTATTATAATAATCTAAAGATATATTACAAATACCATGTTAAATTAATTTGCTATCTAATTTAAAAAATTAATTTTAGATACCTTAAGTATCCGATCCGATCTTAGGTAAGACTTAAACTCTAACTGAGACCCACAGTTTAAAATAAATAGTCAATAGGTATTTTACCTTTGATCAGAATCCTAAGCCAAACATGTATATTTATATTGATTTTGGTTTGATTTCTTGGGTCCACTTAACATGTCAATCTAAAAATAGTTACATAATAATTTACATAATAGTATAATTCATAAATTATATGGTTTTAAACATATTCGCTTTTTGATATAATACGACTTTGTAATTTTATAATGTATAAATAATTCAAAAAAATTAATTCATATTAATTTTTTATAATTTAAGAAAAATCCGCGCTTTCAAAGCACGGGTCAAAATCTAGTATTATATTATGTGGTTTCAGCTGCCTAAAAGATTATGGTTTCCAGTCCATAATCTTCTGATAATAAAAAAATCAGTTCAACCATTATTAAATATTAGAGAATCATACAAATTGCTATACAACTCTCTTAGAAAGCTCACTATTCATGATTTTAAAATTTTAGTCGTATTATTGAATGTTGGTA